AGGCTACGCTCCCTGCACCCCCAAGGCCCACGAGCTTTCCCCACAAGCCATCTGTGCAGTCGCGTTTTGTCAGTAACCACCTGGGTGGCTTAGCTGACCTTTATCCGTCAACACCGGTTCACTGTCCTCTGCTCAGAAACTGGTGAAGGGCCTTCTGACTTAAGGAGGTGCCTGCAAGGGACCTCCGCGGGGCTTCGTGCTCCACCCGGCCTTGGCCAGATCTCTCTTGTGTCCCCATCTAAGTTGTGCGTGCGGCCTTGGCGGTTTCAGGCTCTTAGTAGGCAGCTTGTTTTCCTTAAAAGGGAGCGTTTTATAAATAGGAAGGTGATTTTCCGTTAGTTGTCAAGATGACCCTTACTGGACCGTGCTTTGTGAGTGGCTTTGAAATTGTAGTAAGCGCAGTTTACTGAGTCATAACTAGTCTCGACCCGTTCGTAGAACTAGTCGGTATTTGTTCCTGGACCTTCCTTCGTAATACGCTCTAAAGTCAAGGCATGGAGGTCGGAGAACAACACGTGCAAGTATGGAAGTCCCTTAGGCTAAATGCCTGCTACATACGGAGATGCTTGTATATACATAGAGATGTGTATTTCTGGACATAATACAGAAGAAACGGGTCAGCAGCTGGGAGGCTGGAAAAACCTGTTAGCTATTCAGAAACTTTTTTTTTTTTTTTTTTTTTTGAGCCAGAGTCTGTTCTGTCGCCCAGGCTGGAGTGCAGTGACTGGATCTTGGCTCCCTGAATCCTCCACCTTCAGGGTTCAAGCAGTTTTCTGCCTCAGCCTCCCGAGTAGCTGGGATTACAGGTGCCTGCCACCACGCCCGGCTAATTTTTGTATTTCTAGTAGAGACGGGGTTTCACTATCTTGGCCAGGCTGGTCTTGAACTCCTGAGCTCGTGATCCACCCGGCTGAGCCTCCCAAAGTGCTGGGATTACAGGCATGAACCACCGTGCCCGGCCATAGAAACAAATTTTAAAATTTCGTCAGTGAGACTTGGTATAGGTAGTTTTTTTTTTTTCTTCAAATTTGAAATGCATTGCTTCGTGCGAAATAATCGTTGTCAAGAGGACGAATGTCATGGCTTATACTTGAAATATTTTTGGTATTCTTATTTTTGAGGCTTCAGTAGCTTGAATTCTGTTTTCACTGGTAAGTGCTGGGACTTCTAAAAATTTCCAAACGAAATAATTGATAAAATTGGTAGTCCAGGAAAGTTCTGAAGCATAATACAAAAGAATCCACCGATACATTTGAGAACTATGATATTACCAATACTAGAGTATCTGTTTTTACATTCCCCTGCTTCCTATTCATAGGTACCCACCATTTGGAATTTTGTGCCTATCAGTCTTTTGGTTTTTGTGGGGGAGGGGGTGGTGTGGATAGCTTTGGGGTTTTTTGTTGCTTTTTTGAGATGGAGTCTCGCTCCCGTCCGTGCAGGCTGGAGCACAGTGGCACGATCTCTGCAGCACACTGCAGCCTCCACCTCCCAGGTTCAAGCGATTCTCCTTCCTCAGCCTCCCGAGTAGCTGGGATTACAGGCACCCACCCTCACGCCCGGTTTATTTTTGTATTTTTAGTGGAGACGGGGTTTTGCTGTCTAGAACTCCTGACCTCAGGTGATCCAGCCGCCCCAGCCCCCACAAAGTGCTAGGATTACAGGCGTGAGAAACCGTGTCTAGCCCATTTTTTAGGCTTTGTAAAGACAGGATTATGCATGTTGTTGTCTGCAGTTCCTGTGAATCATAGTATTAAAATGAAACATTTTTGTTTCAGTTAATTTTTTTAATTACTCAAAACCAGTAATTTATATTCCTAATATTGATTGTGTGAAATATTTTCAGCATTTCAGCACATGAAAATGATTGTTTTGCAAGGTCCAACCTTGTATGTCTTAATAAATCATTTCCTATTGCTGCCTGGCTCAATATTCTCAGTATTCTCCTGGGGTGCTGTATGACATGATTTTTTACCCCAGTCCATGTTCTTTGCAGTGTTTTGTTAACTTGGGACTTAATTTTACAGGCATGTGTCCAGTAAAAATGCCAACATAGGTATCCCTGCTCTAAAACTGCTAGGTTTGCTGTTTTAATGTTTTTAGGTGAAGGTCTTCACGCCAGTTTTTATACATCTAACCTGGCTCATAGCTCATCCTCGTCGATCTGTGAGACAGAAAAGCAATGGCTGTATACTCACTATGACCATTGTGTCTTAAAGTCAAAACTGCCACAGTGAAAGATATCATAAAATGTTTCCACCATTTTCCTGCCAGTGCTAATGGCTCCTGTTTCCAGTTTGGAATAAGCTAATTTGTGGAATTATTAGGTGCTAATCAGACAAACATACTCAGTTACAGAGGTTTGGGTTTGTCAGTATTGACTATCAAAAAAGCAGAAACAGGTACTAGAATAATAGTACTTTTTTATTAAAAAGTGGGTTGGGAGTCTGAAAGGTAGGTTGCAAGTACAGTTCCTAAAGGAATGAGATTCTCTTCTTGGACCATTCCTACATATAAGATGCCAAACAAAATGCAAATAAAAATGGGAATTCGAAATGTAATATTTAATTTCCAGGTGCAAGAAAGCCTTTGCGGTGAAGGTGTATGAAGGTCATCATGACAAATGTTTTCCAAAAACTTGTAGAAGGCTGTGAAAAAACTACTAGGATCACACGTCATGTATTGAGGTACCTAAATTTAATTAATGTTAGTTATGTGATGTATTCTTGACAGATAGGTTTAATAGCTGGCACAGTGATGACTTAAATTACTTTTTGCCGTTTACCCAGCTGAGGGTGTCTTTGAAGAAATAATTTTAAGACTGAGATGCCAGTAATGTACATTGATTAATTACTGACATGTATGTAAGGCAATAATTTAATTAAGGGTGAATATTCTTTCTTTTTAGCATATAGGTTGCTGTAGATGAATGTTCTTTGCTGTCATGTTTAAAAATACTTCTGCTTCATTGCCTCAAGTAAGTGATTTGTCAAGCAACTCTATCTGCTGATAGTTCAGAAAGTATCTGATAAACTTCAAAGGGTGGGGGCCAATTCTTGTTGAAGTTGCTTTTGCATGTGGGGTATTCTCAACATTTAATTTTTTGAGGGACGACTTGTGAATATTGAGGTTATATGAGAACTTTGAGTATGGAAAGATTTTCACTGTTGGTTTCTGACTTTGTTTTGGAGGTGTGGCATGCAACATTTTGGAAGGAAAATTGAAGACTTGTTCAAGAAAACACGAACAGAAGCAAATGATGAAAATGAGCATTTTACTTGATGTTGATAACATCACAATAAATTATGGAGAAAAATATATATTTGGCTAACTTTTAATTGCTGAACAATAAAGTGTTTTAAATCAATTCTAAATAGCTCCATTCTCATAATCACTAGTCAGACCTGTTTTGAACATATTCGAAAGATTATATAATCTTGTGAATAATTAGATTATTTATGGGTGGTGATTCTCATTGAGGCCAGCAGCTGGGGAGACATGTACCTCTAGGTTCCCTGTCTGACTTCCCCTTCAGAGTTTGCTGTTGTACCAGATGGTTGGAATCTTAAAGCTCTTTAATGCCAAATAGCAATCAAATTCCCCCTTACAGATAAAGGTTTCACCTTTTTTATTCAGTTTGCTTTCATCTTTGTGAACAAAAAAGTCATCCTAATACTAGTACATGTAATAACTAAGCAATATAAGAGAAATGACTGGGCAGGCCAATCTGTCTAGGACTAAATTGGCAAGAATTCTAGAGCTGAATTTATATCTGGGTGAAGGCTTAGAGCTAAATCTTTTCTCCTGTTGAGTACTAGCTTATAAATTCCTTTCACCAAGGTTATAGTTTTTATATAATAAATGGTATAAAACCTGTATAGCAACATCTTAGTCACTTCCCTCAGTATAGACTTGGCGGGTACAAGTGCAGTTCTGTTGCATAGGTATATGAAGTAGTTTGGAGTCTGAGCTTTTTGTGCAGCCATTACCTGAATGGTGTACATTTCACCCATTAATTTTTCATCCCGCACCCTACCCCCTTCTAATTCTCCAATAACCTTTAAAATACCATTGGCATCATATTTAATATTAATGAATTACCTCCCATAATTGTTTGTTTCTAAATGTACACTTCTACTCTTTAGACACTGAAATAAAAGACTAGTAAATGCAGCCTTTGTAATGAGAAACTTAAACATTTAAATTTTTTTGTGGTGAAGTAACTATCTTTGAGACAGGTTGGGTTTTTTGAGCTGGGGAGATTAAGGTGGCAGTGAGTTATGATTGCATCAGTACGCTACAGTTTGGGTGACAGCTACATATAAATATGTATATAAGCTATCTTTGTGCCACACATGTGGCTCACTCCTGTAATCCCAACACTTTGGGAAGCTGAGGTACTGAGATGGGAGGATAACTTGAGACCAGCCTGAGAAACATGGTGAAATCCCATCTCTACAAAAAAACACAAAAGTTAGCCCAGGGTGGTAGCATGTCCCTGTAGTCCCAGCTACTCGGAGGGCTAAGGTGGGAGAATTGCTTGCAAGGTCAAGGCTGCAGGGAGCTGAGATGGCGCCACTGCCCTCCAAACTGGGTGAGAGCCCCTGTCTCAAAAAAAATTAAAAAAAACAGTGTTTTTAAACTTTCCAATTGTAAAAGGATCCTAGTTTTATAAAATAGGAATGTGTTTTGCCTTCCCCCATAGAGAGCCAGACATGTTTGAAATGTAGTATTTGAGAAGCACAAAATATACGTCTTAACATTATAGAACTGTAATATGTAAATATTTTGCTGAAGACTACCTTTGTCACCAGGTGCGTTGGCTCATACCTGTAATCCCAGCACTTTGGGAGGCCAAGGCAGGCAGATCACCTGAGGTCAGGAGTTCGAGACCAGCCTGGCCAACATGGTGAAACCCTGTCTCTACTAAAAATACAAAAATTAGCCGGTCATGGTGGAGTGCACCTGTAATCCCAGCTACTTGGGAGACTGAGGCAGGAGAATCGCTTGAACCTGGGAGGTGGAGGTTGCAGTGAGCCAAGATCGTGCCACTGCACTCCAGCCTGGGTGACAGAGCAAGACCCCGTCTCAACAAAAATACTACCTTTGGCTTCTGAAAACTAATACTGTTTTCTCCCTGCTACTAGTAGGTATTCAATAATACTGAACAACTTCCTCTGGGTCCTGTGGAGAATGAGAGGTCCAGCTGTATAGTTAAGCATCTCTGTTAAGGGACCAATTTTGAAAGAATTGATGCATGGTAGCATCTTGGTTAATAAAGTGACAATTTGGTAATGACATTTTGCTTTTCTGTGAATAGAACTGATCTTTTATTAAAGTTATGGAAGCTGAACTAAAAAGGATTTATAAATTTTACAAGGTAGATTTGTTTTCTCATGATGCCCCTATCTTCACAGCAGATATCTTCCCTCCAAAAATGAGGACTAGATTTGCAAGTTGGTTTCTTTGCCTTTTGGAACCTTTCTTGTAACCAGTTAGGGTTAGAGAGCCACTTTATAAGTTATTGGCTCCTTGATTCCGTGTATTTTTTTCATTTAACCTGGCATATACATGACAACTTCCAAGGCTTTTCCTGATTCCATATTTAGGGCTTCTAAAACAGTAGTATGTAATGGACATGCCAGTAATAAAGCATGAAAAGGCCTTACATTTGAAACTTGGGGTTATATAAAATATTTAGTCATGAGTTTAGCAAGTTCACTAGTGAAGAAAAATGTTTTAATTTGTAGGTAAAGAGTTATTGCCATCTTGTGACAGTAGAGTGAACTACATAAAGGTTGACATTTTACACACTGCTTAAATTGCAACATTCTTTACATTTTTATCTATTCACCACTGGTATTCTGGGCTAACCAGTTTTTCTTTATAGTATTCTCCTTGACAACTTCATCACTTTAAATTGTCCACATTGTTCTAAGTTTTAAAATTCTGTTGGTTTTAGAGGTTTGGATTAGTATTTATCACATTAGCAATTAGTTTTGAGGGGACTATATTTTATATTTTTAAAAATAGTATTGTAATATATTCCTGTACAAAGTATTATCAAAGCATTACTTCAAAGTCACTCTCAAAATACTCACACTTTTTCTCCACTGCTTAAGTAGGAATGAACAAAAATTCCTCAAATTGTTTATTCATCACTAGAGAAAATAGTTGTCCCAGGTCCATATGTGGCAATAAATTGTTCCAGCTGTTGTTGGCACTGAGTTAGATAGAGATCCCTTTGCTCTAAGTATTCTTCATTATACAGTTTGAATGGAAATACTGCATTCGGAGCAACACAAAATGCAGTGGCCCCTAAATGAAGAAGATAACAGTGTAAATGACAAATACTGCTTAAGATGACAAATATGAAATCACATTTTCAACCAAAATATTTTATTGGAATCTTAAAAATTAAGCCCAAGCCCATGTGGTTCTGTGAAAAATAAAAGTTAAAAAATTAAGTTTTGACCTATTCAGAAGAGTATTTCAATAACCATTATTGAAATCTGACTCTTGTTTTCTGAAACCCAGAAAGCAGGTTCAGTAAATGCACAAACATTGGTACCAGGGCCAATGGAAGAAGTATGTTGATGTTTATAAAGTTTAGAACTGGAAATTTGTCTTCTACTGAAATAGTCATCATAGTTTTGAAGCTGACTACTGATGTGAGGACGTGACAGGAGTAGGGAGAAAAGGTACTGGAAAGTAGGGAAACACTAATCTTTTTTGATAAAGTTTAAGTGGATGATCAAAGATAAAGACATTGTAGTGCATTTCTCAGTTGTTTAACCCATTTACATAAAGGCAGACACATAAATCTATGGAAGGGTTTCAAGACCATTCTAGGGGAAAGGACAGACTCACTTTGGATTTGGCAATGATTTCCTGAATGTGACATCAAAAGTACAGGCACCAAAAGAAAATATACATAAATGGGACCACATCAAAATTTAAAACTGCATAAAACAATACAACCAACAGTGAAAAGACAACCCATGGAATGGGAGAAAATATTTGCAAATCATATCTCTGATAAAGGGGTCTATAAATCCACAGTAAGAAAATAATCATTACAAAATAGGCAGAGAACTAAAGTCATTTCTCTAAAGAAAAACGACCAATAAGCACATAAGAAAGATGTTCAACATCACTAATCATTAGGAAAATACAAATCAAAACTACGATGAGCTACCACCTCACACCCATAAGGATTTATTATAAAAATAAAAAACAGAAAATGACAGGTGTTGGAGAGGATGTGGAGAAATTAGAAGCTTTGTGCACTGTTGGGAATGGAAAATGGTGCACCCACTGTGGAAAACAGGATGGCGGCATCAAAAAGAGTAAACAATTACTGTATGATACAGCAATTTCACTTCTGGGTATATACCCAAAAGAATTGAAAGCAGGGTCTTAAAGAGATATTAGCACACCCATGTTCATAGCATCTCTCTCAATTTGTATTATATATTCATTAATGTCTTTACTTTTTTTTTTTTTTGAGACAGGGTCTCACCCTGTTGCCCAGGCTAAAGTGCAGTGGCATGATCATGGCTCATTGCAGCCTCGACCTCCTGGGCTCAAGCCATCCTCCCACCTCAGCTTACCGAGTAGCTGGGACTACAGGTATACACCATCACACCCAGCTATTTAAAAAAATGTTTTTTTTGTACAGATGGGAGGTCTCACTATGTTGCCCAAGCTGGTCTCGAACTCCTGGGCTCAAGTGATTCTCCTGCCTTGGCCTCCCAAAGTGCTGGGATTACAGGCATGAGCCATGATGCCCCGCCATGTGTTTACTCTTTTTTTTTTTTTTTCTTTTTTGAGACAGTCTCTTGCTCTGTCGCCCAGGCTCACTGCAACCTCCGCTTACCGGGTTTAAGCAATTCTCCTTCCTCAGCCTCCCAAGTAGTTGGGACTGTAGGCACACACCACCACACCCGGCTAATTTTTGTATTTTTAGTAGAGACAGGGTTTCATCATGTTGGCCAGGCTGGTCTCGAACTCCTGACCTCAAGTGATCCGCTGCCCCAGCCTCCCAGTGTTGGGATCATAGGTGTGAACCACTGTGCCTGGCCCATGTGTTCACTTTTTAATATCTGTTCTCTCACTAGGCTGTAAGTTCTACCAGGGTAGAAACTGTAACTTTTTTCACTACTATGTAACTAGTGCCTAGCACCTAGTGATCATTCAGTAAATATTTATTGACTCACAGATTGGAAAAAAGATCATGAATATTTAGTTCAAATAGTGATAATTATGAGGCATATTATGAGAACATATACACTATAATTTTAATACATTAATCCTCAAATTATAATTAACCTCAAATTACCTTTACAGTTTTACTTTAATATATACAGCCATACCTCAGAGATATTGCAAGTTCAGTTCCAGATCAAAAATGTGGTTCAGTTCCACAAAAAAGTGACTATCACAATAAAGCAAGCCACATCAATTATTTGTTTTCTCAATGTACATAAAAGTTATATTTACACTATATTGTAGTCTACTAAGTGTGCAATAGCATTATGTCTAAAAACAAGATCCAAACATACTTTAATTTAAAAATGCTTTATTGCTAAAAAAAATGCCAAAAATCATCCTCTGCCTTCAGGAGTCATAATCTTTTTGCTGGTGGAAGGTCTTGTCTCCATGTAGATGACTGCTAATTGATTAACATCAGCACAGTGTTTGTTGGAGGTTGGGATGGCTGTGACAATGTCTTAAAATGAGACAATAATGAAGTTTGCTGCATTGATTGACTCTTTCATGAAAGATTTCTTTGTAGCATGTGATTTTTTTTTTTTTTTTTTGGTCATTTTTATTTATGTTTTTTATTACACTTTAAGTTCTGGGGTACATGTGCAGAACGTGCAAGTTTGTAACATAGGTATACACGTGCCATGGTGGTTTGCTGCACCCATCAACCCATCACCTGTATTAGGTATTCCTCTTAATGCTATCCCTCCTCTGGCTCCCCCCACCAACAGGCCTCGGTGTGTGATGTTTTCCCTCCCTGTGTCCATGTGTTCTCATTATTCAACTCCCACTTATGAGTGAGAGCACGCGGTGTTTGGTTTTCTGTTCTTATGTTAGTTTGCTGAGAATGATCGTTTCCAGCTTCATCTATGTCCCTGCAAAGTAGATGTACTCATTCTTTTTTATGGCTGCATAGTATTCCATGATGTATATGTGCCACATTTTTGTTATCCAGTCTATCATTGATGGCCTTTAGGGTGATGCTGTTTGCTAGCATATTTACCCACAGTGGAACTTCTTTCAAAATTGCAGGCAATCCTCTCAAACACTGCCACTGCTTTATCAACTAAGTTTATGGACTATTCTAAATCCTTTGTTGTCATTTCAACAGTGTTCACAGAATCTTCCCCAGGAATAGATTCCATCTCAAGAAACCACTTTCTTTACATCCATAAGAAGCAACTTTTCATCCGTTCATGTTTGATCATCAGTCTACAGCAATTGAGTCACATCTTCAGGCTCCACTTCTAATTCTAGTTCTCTTGCTGTTTCCGCCACATTTGCAGTTACTTCCTCTACTGAAGTCTTGAACCCCTTAAAGTCAGCCAGGAGGGCTGGAATCAACTTCTTCCAAACTCCTGTTAATGTAGATATTTTAACCTCCTCCCATAAATCACGAATGTTCTTAATCACATCTAGAATGGCAAATCTTTTCCAGAAGGTTTTCAATGACTTTGCCCAGCTCCATCAGAGGAATCATGGCAGTGATGGACATAACAAGGCTTGAATGTTGAAATTACTTCTTTATCCAGGGGCTGCAGAATACATGTTAGCAGGCATAATAACAACATTCATGTCCTTGTACATCTCCATTAGAGCTCCTGGGAGACCAGGTGCATTGTCAATGAGCAGTAATCTTTTGAAGGGAATCCTTTTTTTTTTTCCTTGAGACAGAGTCTCGCCCAGTCACCCAGGCCGGAGTGCAATGGTACAATCTTGGCTCACTGCAACCCCTGCCTCCCGGGTTCCAGCAATTCTCTGCCTCAGCCTCCCGAGTAGCTGGGATTACAGGTGCCTGCCAGCACACCCAGCTGATTTTTGTATTTTTAGTAGAGATAGGGTTTCACCATCTTGGCCAGGCTGGTCTTGAACTCCTGACCTTGTGATCCACCTGCCTCAGCCTCCCAAAGTGCTGGGACTACAGGCATGAGCCACTGCACCCGGCCCTGGGAATCCTTTTTTTCTGAGCAGTAGATCTTCACAGTGGGCTTCAAATATTCAATAAACCATGCAGTAAACAGAAGTGCTATCATCCTGGCCTTGTTGTTCCCTTCTAGAGTATAGGCAGAGCATGATTAGCATAATTCTTTAATGGCCTTAAAATTTTCAGACTAGTATATGGACATTGGCTTTGACTTAAAGTCAGCAGCTGCATTAGCTCCTAACAAGGGAGTTAGCCTGTCCTTTGAACCGTTGAAGCCAGGCATTGAAGTCTCCTTTCTAGCTATGAAGGTCCTAGATGGCATCTTCTTCTAATAGAAGGCTATTTTGTCTATATGGAAAATCTGTTGTTTAGTGTAGCCACCTTCATCATCATCTTAGCTAGATTTCCTGGGTAACTTGCTGCAGCTTCTCCATCAACACTTGCTGCTTCATGTTGTACTTTTATGTTATAGAGATGGTAGCTTTCCCTCAGCCTCATGAACCAACCTCTGGTAGCTTTTGACTTTTCTTCTGCAGCTGCCTTACCTCTCTGAGCCTTCATAGAATTGAAGAGACTCAGGGCCTTGCTCTGGATTAGGGTTTGGCTTAAGGGAATGTTGTGGTTGGTTTGATCTATTCAGACCACTAAAGCTTTTTCCATATCAGCAGTAAGGCTGTTTTGCTTTCTTATCGTTTGTGTGTTCACTGGAGTAGCACTTTAAATTTCAAGAAGTTTTTTGTTTGTTTGTTTGTTTGTTTTGAGATGGGGTCTCCCTCTGTCACCCAGGTTGGAGTGCAGTGGCATGATCTTGGCTCACTGCAACCTCTGCCTCCTAGCAAGACTCTGTCTAAAAAAAATATTGAAAAAAAAATTCAATATACCTAACCAAAATTCATTATGAAAGGAAAAGTAACTAAAGGTGAAAAAAATCTTCACATGGGTTTTTCTCCCTCCCTCACTCCCAAAATAATAAATGCTGTTTATTTATTTATTTATTTATTGAAACAGTCTTACTCTGTTTCCCAGGCTGGAGTGCAGTGGCACCATTTCAGCTCACTGAAACCTCTGCCTCCTGGGTTCAAGTGATTTTCCTGCCTCAGCCTCCTGAGTAGCTGGGATTATAGGC